AGGGCTGACCAGTTGTTGCCATCACTCTGGGATTATGTCAGACAACCAAGAACAAGTTCGACACTTTATGGAACCTGAAGTACCAAAAATCAATATACTTATATCTGCCTTCATTTTTTTAGCTATGGAAATAATACAGTAGTAGATTATTGCTTTTTAAAGCAATGTATAGGATATATCATTCAGAAAGTTTAGGAAATTTATTCAAAAATAGAAAGTGATACGCTACAGATGTTAATTACAATGTCATCTTGGATATGTTTCATCATACAGAGTCTTTTAGTTGTTTTGTGCTTTGAAATGTTTACATTTTAACTTTCTATAAATAGATGTACACAAAAGAGTTTTTTGGTATAACATGCAGTCATAGGTAAATGAGGATTTTGGACACAATGATTATTTCTTCAGTATCAAAAATACACCAGTAAGCATACAACTACTTTGCCCTGGAAGTACACTGATACAGTAGATTGCAACACAAATAGTTCTTTTATAATCAGTAAGAATATTTAATTGAACAATTGTCACACACAAATGCGTGTGCATGTGTGTGTGCATGCATGCATGCACACGCACACACGCGCGCGCGCGCGCACACACACAGTATGCATACACGCACACACACGCGCACACACACACACACACACACACAAACAAACACACAATTTGGAAACAAAATCAAAATAGTCCCATCTACAATATCAATGCTTTTATCCTTCTCTATATTTATTCAAAATATGTTAGAATTTGACATTCTAGAAGCATGAGAGGACTTAAAAACACTTGGGTAATGGATTTGCCATGTTTACTTGAATAAAGAAGATTGAAACTCCATTTACGCTTCACATAAATGGTTTTGAGATCTTAATTATTGATGAAAAATCTGCTGTGCTTCCACATTTGAAGATATGGCAATTTTATAGGAATTTTAATCACCTTCTACATTAGGAATTTTAAGGTAAGGCCTGTTTTTGCATAATGTAGGAGGAATGTATATTTGGTCTTCTTAAAAGAGTTGTCACTTATAATGACAGAATTCTATTAGCACTTCGTTGCATATTCTGTTACACTGGGAAGTGAAGTTAATGTGCTCTCAATATTATGAGGTGCATTTAGAAACTGTTGCATTTATTGTTTGCTTACATAGAAATTACGTTAGCAAAGTTATGAAGGGAAAATATACTTGGAAAAATGAATCATAAGATTTGGACTGTCTTCGAGAAGGATCCAGTTGCATTTCAGATTGTTAATAGTAATTTGTTTTGGATTGTTGTGTGTTCTCTTTCATCACCCAAATGTGCTGATGATAGAGCCAGATTTCTGGGCTGCATATCTTCAGTATCAAAGAATATTGATGTTAAATTTGTGAGCCAGTCCTGTTAAATTTGTGGATCAGTTTATAGCTTCTCCCATGAAGTGTCATCACTTGGCTTAAAAACTACATACAATATGCTTTACTACATTTTTTCAGTGTTTAGATGCTTGTACCAGATTTTGAATAGGTACAGTATATTTGTCTTAGTTCTTGTCATTTCCACTAACCGTTCAAACGTGTATGGTAGTATTTGCTGTATGCATTTGTTCCAATGAAAAGAAAACTTTTTTTTTTGATAATTTTGGTTTTGAATGTATGAAAAAAGGAATATATCTAGATATTTTCATTTTGTTTCCATTATAAAACCTCAAATACAGTAATGTACATATTAGTATGCCAAACTCGCTTACATTTTTTTGGTAAGCTTTAAAAATTTTACATTATACATTGCATCTTTTTCTTCTATAGTTATGTTTTATGTATTTTAGCTTCATTTTCCTACTACAAGGATTTCTTAAGAGGTAGCTGTGATGACACATTTTGGACCCAGTTTTCTGATTTTTTCCCCCAAAAATTATGTAATGCATGTAACAGATATTACATATTAAAAAAAAAACTCATAAAATAGTTGTAACCAAAGTGATGCCTTCAAAAAGTGTTCATGGGAAATTAGGCTGCCACAAAGAAAGTCAAGTAAAATAAAAGAAAAAGGCTATATTTTTATGTAGGACTGCTGAAAAGGATGGGAGTATCATTTTCATAGTGGAATTATGTTTTCTGGGAAAGCACAAAAGCAGATGTTCCTCATTAGGAACACCCATTGTCTACATATCACAACTATGAAGAGATAAATCTATCCTATTTCACCCATACATTCCAATGGCTGTAAATGATTACAGGATGCCGCTATAACTGCTAAACCAAAACCACACTGTGTGCTAAAATAATTCTTTTCTGCCATCATAATATTTTATTGGAAGGTATGGAAATTCTTGGTAAGACACATCCTCTTGACTTTTCCCTTCTTTGTTTGGCTTAAATCTGTATGAGAGCTCAGTGTCCAACTGTTGAACACTGAATAGACTGATTGTGAAAGAACATAGGAAGAGAGAGTTACATTACTATCACAACATTAAGAAGCAACTTGCTAGTAAAACAATGGCAGATCTGCCTGTGTGCACTGAATGAGCTTGCAAAGTATTGCTGAGAGCATGCTTGGCATCATTTTTCCAGATGGTACTATCACAATCGTACTGCTAGTTGGCATCTCTGTGGGCAGTAAATACTCTCCCTCCCCAAATAAATCTGGCATTATTCTATAGAGTTTAGAAGACTTATAATTCCAAGTATGTTCTACTTTTCTGTATAAAAGCCAGACATCTGTTTATCCCATTTTTGTTCATACAAAGTTTGGAATAGATTTAGTTTTTTTCGTTGGTGGTGGTGGTGGTGGGAGAAGTTTTGTCATATTTAACAGCTGTTGCAAACTTTCAGCCCTCTGGGCTCTTAAAATACTTTTCAGCTGACCTCAGATTTTATACATAATTGACACTGTTTGTAAAGAAAAATGCCCCTCTGTGGTTAACCTTTCGTTGTCTCTATGTAACTTCTTATTGTCTTCATGTAGTGCTTAGTATCAGACTAAGCTTGATGCCTTCTGCACCGTTCAGAAACAGAATTATCAAGCTTTGTTTAATGCTTTAGGTTTCCAAAAATGGCTTTATTTCACTTGTAGCTGAAGTTTCTTCCTTCAGAGTAATTGTAGAATGGTAGCCGAAGACTGATTGGAGGTGTTTTTTTTTTAGTCAACAGTGTTTCCTTTCACTTCCTGTCACAAAGGTCAAAGAAAGCTGACCTTTGCTGGCAGTCCTAGTCACTGAATTATTCATGTGATTGACTTTTTGTCAGTGCACACAGTTGTGCTCTGGGACATTTTATTCATTTACCTCATTTAAAGAGCCTTTCTGCACCTGTTCAAGTATTAATATCATGTAATTTGGGCCTAATGCCGATTTTGCTGAACACTCATTATATTTTTTATTAGCTATATTTCGAAACGATTATGTATGATTATTACCAAGCCTTACAAACAGCAATGGGTTATTCCCTAGACCTTTACATCTTCTTGTCAGGTTGTTTTCAGAAGCAAGAAGGATAAACATTTGACCAGTTCCAATGTTTTTATTCCTACTCCATATCCAACCAGAGAACTTAAAGCTTTTCCCTTATGGCTTTGTGAAAGCATGATTAAATCCAACTCTGCAGAAGCTGTACAAATGCCAGCATTTATAAGGTCAACGCTTTTGTTAAAAATGCTATGTAAATGAGGATCTGCAAAAAGGGACATTAAATAAAATTAAATTCATTGTCTTCTTTAATGTCATTTACATTTTGGCTAAGCCCTGGCCTGTCAAGGAGGATTTTAAAAATAATTTTAATTACACATCATTTAGGGATCCAAGGTTGTCTATTCAGTAGCATTTGGATAACCTGCAAAACGGTGACTGTTTATTAACTTCTTAAATGACAAGTTGTCATTTAATCTGCATAATGCAGTGAAAACAGTACAGTTTATTGTAAA